GATGCATCTGTCAAAAAGGTGGATTCATTAGGTTTAATGATTTGATATGATCTAGATGACGAAGAGAAAAATGTTTTAAATATATCAAATGTCATTAAGCACGTTTTTTCGTCAATATTTAGCTTGTTCTGCAGTAAATTATTAGTAGAGATATCGATAGAGTCACTGCTACCGTAAAATTTTGAAGACATCTTTATCGCCATCCTATGAGCGTAAATAAGTACAGGAAATTTCAACAGTCTCAGTCGTAGCATAAAAATAAGTACTACGTTTTTTGAAAACTTGGGTCATCAAGAATGAATTTTCAAGGTTTTTCTTGTCGACTTTTTTCATCAGTACATTTTCTGTTGTTGTTTTCTCTTTTTTCTACTTTGAAATTTTGTTTAAAAAAATGGAAATTTTTGAAAATTTGCAGTTACTGTTGTCACAAATTAATGTATTGATATATACTTTTAATAATAGCAATTTTGTTTTTGATTTATTCCGAAATGTCTGTTAGAATATTTATAGATAATAATTGTGTCAGTCACATTCAATGACGACATCAAGTGAGAAAATACGATCTCTTCTTATAAGTAAACCATATAATTACTTGAATCAATAGTGTCTTTAAAAATTTGCAATGTGCCTCTTTTTCTAAAATAAATTTTTTAATGCCAGTACATAAGAGTCATCATGGATATGGGTTTTTGAATTCTCGATCATCTTTTATAATAATCAAATTTCTTCTTATGAAGGTGAAATTAAAAAAATTCAAGGATATGATTATGAAATTTAATTTATTGAAACTGATTCGTTAGAACAATTTTCTCAATAAAAATCATCAATGACAGTGAAGCAAACAATTGAGTGTGTTTTTATCCTATTATTATTACTTATAGAAAAGTTGAGTATATTGATAGAGTACATGTTAACCCTTTCGCAGCGATGTCAGCCACCGGTAACTTACACCATAATGTACATTGGTTAGGCGGTCATAAAAACAAAACGTTCTCAGAAAATTTCTTCATCACGCAGATTTTATGCAGCTATCTCTGCTGATCATTTCGGTTAAAAAAATTTTAAATTTAGCTAACAAATGACGGTGCTAGGATCAAACTACTGAAAAATCTCAAGTAGATCTATCGTTGGAGCTATAACACTGCCGTATTTTTGCCCTAGCACCATCGTTTATTTGTGAAATTAAAAATTTTTTTTACCAAAGTAATCAGCACAGGTAGCTCCACATAGTCTGATAGACGAAACAAATTTTGTGAGGAGATTTAGTTTTTATTGGTGACCATCCGTGAAGCTACTCAATTATACTCCTGAAATATTAAAGCTTTTCATGATTCTGCAGCCCATTATCATTCTATGAATTATCGGTTATACTCCTGAATCACATTTTCGACAGACTTTTGTTTCATATAAAATTCAGTTTCATTTCTCCTTGCGTTTGAGTTGTAATCTCTCGAAAAACATTTTCGAAAACACTGCAGAATCAAATCGTCGTGAAAGGGTTAAATAGTAAATTTTAATACTATTAAATCACTGTTCAAATAATCTCTTTAGAAGTATTATCAATAAATTTTGTTCTGCTTATCACATGCATAAGTATTTATTTATTTCACTCTATCCATCGATATACTATATAAAATGTACATTTATACAGGGTACTCAGAAGTCCATACCAATGATTCACGTAAATATCTCTTATATATTTCAAGCGATTAAATTTTTTTTTGTTTAAATAATATGATAGTATGTTCTTTTAAGTTTTATTTTATAAAATTTGTTTTATAAAAAACTGTTCGAAATGATTATCATGAATTCGAAGCACATGAAATCGATCCTTTTAGAAGTCTTTGAAAAATAGAATCCTGCAGAAAGTTTATTTTCGAATTAATTTATTTCCATGATTGGTTATTATTTTGAATTCAAATAAACGTTTATATACATCATATATGCATAGGTTTTCACTTTATATTTACCGATAAGCCATTTAAATGAAAATAGGATTCGTTCGGTAAACAAAACAAATTCTTCTATTTGTTGATATTTCCTAACCTTAGTATCAAAATTTAAGGACTTAAAATCAATCTTGTGAACTGTCGTTATAAAGATTTTGAACAAATGTCATCTTGCATGGCTGCATCGTAGATATTAAGCCATGATTCCGCCTGCTACTATTCGTAAAATGAGGCAGGCTATAAGTCTTTCAAATTGTTATTCATTTACTATTATACTGATTTCGTAAAAGCATTGAAAATGATTTCTAATATAATCTGTCTGGCGTTTATAAACTGAATTCGATTTGTATTTTCTTTTCACGACGATAAATGGCTTAAATTTGACCTTGGATTAAACTATTTTTATTCTTATGTTTATAACCATAGATATTTATCCAAATATATACAAAAGAAACTTTCAATGCATATACTATTGGATTAATAAAAGCATATTTTTATTTCTTAAACGGCTTAAGCCTTATTCATGTAAACTTTTTGCACGAACTTTTAGAACATCCTGTATGTTAATAGAAAGCAAAAATTATGCAACATATTTTTGATTCTTTATTGTTTGACAAAATTTTCTAGAAGTTTTGTAAATTATACATCGGCTGTGGTTTTCTTTTTTTCTTGCATCTATTTAAATATTATTTAACTAGTATGTGAGAACTACAGATTTATAAACATGCTTACTTATTTGCGAAGAGTGTTTGAATAAAATAACAAACATAAAGTACAATGTGTATGTATAAAGACTTATAGTTCTTTTATTTATTTTTTTTAACGTTACCTTAGATACATTGCAATCCTATCCTATTGAGACGAATTAAAATATTATTCGATATAGTTTATATGACCTTTGTATTGATTCAAACTTTGTTGTTACGAATGAAAGTAGAACTGAACTTGCCTGATTCTTTCACTTGAATTAAGAAGGATAAAAAGCAATGTTCGATTATTCAATAGTTTATACAATAATTCTTTGTTTGAATGCCCTTTCACGTTTGAAAATCTTTATAAAATAAATATAGAGAATCAATAAGTGAGGATGCGTATTTTTTCCATAGAATAAAAAGAAAAATTATTTTTGTGAAAATAAAAAGACAAAAAAACGAATTATAGAAAGACAGATAAACGAAAAAAAAATCGAGAAAATGTGGTGTTGAGAATAATAATAATTAACGGTATGATGACGACTTGTCTCTGCTTCTTTGTGTTTATTTAGCGCGCATATACACGTTTATGTTCAACAAAAAAAATTGATCATAACAACAACGACGATGACGACGATGATGACGACAGTAGATTGATATTCGTAAATGAGTCTTTATATTTTCTTGAAGGTTTTATGTAGAAACCTGTCGTTTGACAAAACGAATTGTTAACAGACAGATTGCAAGAAGAAAAATGATTTGTGGAAGATTTTGAAAGTTTGGACTACCACCAAAAGCTCTTGTCTCTTGATCCCATGCATATTCTAATTAAAGCAAAACAAAAATATTCAATTGAAAGTATCAATATATAACTTACTGAAGAAAGCAACAAATGGAATAAAAGTTGCCCACAGACCGAGTAAACCAATTGCTGCAAGACAGCAGATACAGGTGACAGCAGCACCGACGCCACCTAATGCTCCGCCAAGTGCACCAGCACCTGCTGCTGCTGCTGGTGGTGGTAGTGGCCTGGGTGGAGGTAGGTATCTTGAGACAAATAGTTTATAATACTACTTATGTAAAAAAATAAATTTTCGAAGACTTACCGTGGACGGTACATATTCCTACTCTATGATGGGAAACGATCTGCAATGTATCGATGGAAAAAAAAATCTATCTTTGGTGATCAATACGAAAAAAAAAAGAAAAAGACGTTTTCTGTTCTTTTTTTAAGAGAAAAAAGTAAACAACCTCTACTAAATCCTTCTATAGATATTCTCTCTATCTCTCTTTCTTCACCTACACTAGAAGTAAATAAGACTCAATGCTTATTATTGTTTGAAAAAAATACGCTACTCTGTATTTCTTTACATTTCTGCATATCTCTCTCTCTCTCTCTTCAATCCGAAGGAGACCATCTATCTGTACACACTCGCGTCATGGTTGACGGCATTCTTTTCTCTTCGTGGTAATCGGGGATAGTACATGAGGGTGAGACACGCGAGGAATAACTATTTCTTCAATATGCATGACTTATAATAATATAGGAGAAACATTACCTATATAGATGGAAAAAAAACGAGGGAAGGAAAAAGAAAAGGAGTCAAGTTATGCACACCAGCCTACGTATCTAACGATGAGTATGCCAATCTATATGTGAAAAAAAACGAGAAAAAAATGCAAAAAAAAACTTGGTCATGCGTAACACACCACAACGAATGCATGTGTATGTAACAGACATACAAGTTTCTACTGATGAATGCATAAGCAAACAAACGAAAATCGACCTTGATAACGAAATTGATTGGTAATGATCATCGATGTTTAGACAAGCTAAAAGAAAAGGTTGTATAAATGAGGGTTAAACAAAGAAGTACAGAAACTATCATGTTTCTAATAAATCATTTAATTGAAAAAATTTGATAAGTAGATCAAAAAGAAATCTTTATAATATACTTGTATTGGTTTTTTGCTTTTTTATAATTCATAAATACACACAGAAAAAGGTAAAAATGATAAAAAAAAAGTAATACAAATCTGTATGTATTCTTTTGATAATAGCAACAATTAAGCAGCTTTTTTTGTGCCTTATCATACGAATAAAAAAAGAAAGCAATAATGACAATGATGACTAACAATTGTTGACGATATGAAAACACATTGTACCTATTCAGAAATGTTTTTCTGGTGCGCAAATCATAAAGGATGCAAACAAAAAGAAATAGTCATCAAGCTAGAAGTAGGAAATATATAGTTGTGTTGCAAAAACAGAAAAAAAAGTGAAAGATATGTATGTTTGTGTTTCTTATTCCAAATGTATATATATATTCGTGTTTGAATAGATGTGTATGTTTACTATTCAATAACTAAGAGCACCACCTCGTCGATTTTTTTCCCATACATACATCGAACAGAGAAGTGCACACAAAAGAACTAAAAGATTAAGTTCAATCATTGTTCCAGCACCTTGAGCATTTTGACGAATTTGACGTTGAATTGAGTCTAAATTGAAAGAAAATAAATCAGAATTAAAATGTAGTGAAACAATATTGACATACTCATATAGGCTGCTGCACCTATCATAGTGGCAAAGAGTCCAAGAAGCGCTATTGCTGATAGACATCCAAAGCAAAGTAACGGTGCACTCAGACCACCGATTAAACCAGCAAGGCCACCAGCTGCGGCACCCGCACCTAGTCCGGCATCAACATGACTAGCTAATGGCGCTTTAGGAATGAATGTAGGTCTGATTCTAAATAGAAGTATTTTCAATTACAGAATTGTTTCTTTCTTTTTTTTTATTATTCACTATTAGATATAAACTTACGATGGATATTGGCGAGGAGGATGAGGCCGTGAGGGTGGGACGGACATAATGGTAATATACACACGAAAAGTTTAAGTAAGAAAGACTTAAACTAGAATGAGAAAAAGAAAATTTGAGAATTCTTTATTCTATTCTATATCATTGGCACTTATTGCCTGTTCGCATGATATACAATATCTTTTTCGTATGCAAAATTCAACATGCATACTTTCTTTTACTCTCTCTTTCTCTCTTTTCCATCTATGTTGTTTTTTGTTGATCACTAGGAAAAAAAAGAAAACAACTTATAACTAAATATCTTTCGTAAGAAAAAAAAGACATTCAGTGCATGTTCTATCAAATAGATAGACAGAGCGTATAAGAGTACGAAAAAAGAAAAAGGCATAGAGAATAGGACAGTAAAGACCTCTAAAAACATGACGAAAAGGATGATGATGATGATGATGATGATGATGATGAAGATGATGCTTCAATATAAACATACGTAAATCGAATTTCGAAGGCAATTCCTAAAATATGCATACATATCAATCAATGCAAGATCACTCAACCATACCCAAATAGTAGTGATACTAGCGGTTGTAAAGGTGAAGTACTTGTAAAAAAGGAATCAAATTAGAGAAAGATAGAGAAAAAAGAAGAAGAGAGAACGAAACATATAACTACTTCATGTGTTCTTTTTTTGTATAATTAGAATATTGAAAAAAAAAAGAATGAAAAAGCATTACCAATGCTGACAAATAGACAGACATTATATGTGAAAACTTGATGATAACAAGATGATGCGTATGTACATGAAGATTGCAAATGTAGCAAACGAAGCAAACATGATATGTTTTAATAATATCTCTCGATATTTGTACTACATAGTCATCATTTTTAATAATAAAATATGACTAAACAAAGACAATCTATAAATTGATTGCCATATTTGAAAGAAAAATTGATTGATATACAAAACAAATATTGAATGATGACTTCTGTTTTAATGAAATTGTAATTATTCAAAACTAAAAGAAATTAATATTAATTAACATGAAATTAATATATGGAAAATATATAATTATTGATAGAAAAATCCTTTTATATTGCCTCGAAAGAAAAAAGTCTTTCTATTGATATTGGAATGTGTATATTTTTAGGACACGATGTTCAAGTGAGTTATTATATATAAAAGTCAACACGATTCTTATTTTATTATGGAGACAAAGTTATTAATATGAAATTCTAAATCATTCTTTAGTAGAAGTATTTAAAAACATTGTCACATTTTTTAAAATATATTATATTTATCAATTAAAATGTAAATTCGAAAGAAAATAAAAGTAATATTGAACTAAAGGGTGATCAGAAAGTTTCGATCCCTCTCAGCAAATCGATGATATCTACAATAAACTTCTATGAAGTTATTAATCAAATTATGTCATTTTGTAGAGAAAGGTTAGAGCTATATTCTGAAAAAAAGATAGTTCAAAATACATAAATTCATAACAATGTCATGGTCATTTTACTAATCTTAAGTGAAAATTTTTACGTTACATTTTTTGAAAAATTAAAAAAAAGTCTCGAATGTTTGAGTCCTTAAAGTCGAGCGAAATATTATATTCTACATGTTTTTAGTAGATACTTTTATATGATTCGATAGAGTTCGATAAGCTCTACAAGGATATAAATATCAAGAATCATTCGAATTCTGTTTTCAATGTAAAACTGGGAAGAAACCACGCAGATCGATTACATGTCTTCGGAGAGTATCCCCGGAAACTCGATTATGTCCTAGGGTAAGATGTATAGAGATAGATAGGTATAGGAGATATAGGAGATATAGGAGGTATAGGAGGTATAGGAGATATAGGAGGTATAGGAGGTATAGGAGATATAGGAGATATAGGAGGTAACAGTAGTGTCAAACTTGAAAGTTGAATTTAATTATTGAAAATCTACCTCAACTATTCAATTATTTAATTATTGAATAGTGGAAGTTCAATTATTCTATTCTTTTTGCGGCGGCATAAAGAACTCGTAAGCAATTAATTGTCTCCTGAGTGGTATTTTGAATAATATTAAGCAAAGAATTTTGGTAAATCATGTTTTTTGCACAGAGCATGTCGTATATATGTCGCATCGAAGAGATACCGG